GGTGGTCGAAGATTGCCGAAACTGTCGAAATGTATAACGCGATTTCCCCTCTTTGCGTACGCTACCCAATGAGTACCTGGTCCTTCGACGCTATCCAAATTTACGATGCCGCTCTCGTTTTGATAAATACAACCGATCGGTAAAGAGTTGTGCATGAAAACATCTCTAAAATATGGAATGCGCATACGTTTTGCCAGTTGCAGCAATTGTACGTTGGTAGTTGCACTCTGCGGCATTTTTAGCGTCTCTTTGACGTTTTTTTTTTTCTCGGTGAGGCTCCTCGTCCGTGTTTGTAAGGAGCGAGATATAATCCACGACCTTCCATAGCGTGATTGTGACGTAGCATCTCCTGCAACTGACGTTGCGCGGCTTTTCTGTCGTTCACCACCTTCGCTACACCAGCCGCTCCACCGATCAGGGATCCGAGCGCTCCCAACATTGGTAGAATCGGCAATATGCCGCCGCATTTCGCTACCGGAAGTATCCGTTTCTTCACCGTTCTTTTCTTCGTCTTCGTTGTCTTCAGACCCATACCGAGCTTCGTCTTAGCTTTCATTGCTGTCCAGACAGCTGTAGCGGCGGCTCTCTCACCGAGAGTCAAATCTCTCGCAACGATGCGATTCCGCGCTTTCTCGGCGAGTATCCTATCCGCAGCATGTCTCTCGGTGAGATCGTTGCTTCGAGAGTATGCTATATCGTGTTCGCGACACGCCGCGTCCATTTGATTTATACCTCGATCACCTCTGGCTAATCGCTTCTCCAACCGTGTACCTGGCCCGCAAAACAGATAGCCGGGAATATGTAATTCGATCGGAAGTGCGTTTATCGCGTGATTTAATAGGCCTCTACCTATTTTCGTCGACATTCGCTGCAATTCTTTATCAATGGCGCCGGTCCGTCGATGTGCGTTTCCTGCCACGGCTGATTGTAGTGTTTGTAACAGCGACGATACGTCTGAACCTCCGGATCCGCCTTTATATATTCTAGAAGCTTGTCCCACACGTAGTGAACGTGATCACCGCACATTCGCAACAGAACTGCTTTCGATACAAATTGTAGCTGTTCGACGCTCAAATCGCAAATGTCGGAAGGACTTGATAGCAGAATGAACATTTTTTCTCTACTGAGTGACTCGTGATTTCGCGCACCTATAAATAGGCAGGCGTTCGATCCAATCAACAGTGTTGAAAAAAATGAGATTCGTACGACAACCTTTGACGATTTACGTGAGAAATTGCGATAGCAGATTACGATGAATGGGTGACAACGCGGAGATGCGCAGGCACGGTACGATGCTACCGACTACTATATGCGCGATCATATGCGGACCCTCGAATTGTGGTAAAACCAACGTTCTGATAAGTCTACTGGAAAGTTCGCACGGTGTACGTTTCGAGAATGTGTACGTGTATTCGAAGTCGTTGCAACAGCCAAAATATCAATATCTGGAGAATTTGTTGACGCCGATCGACGAAATCGGCTACTTTACGTTCTCGAATAACAGTGACGTCATTCCATCGAGCGAGGCACATCCAAACTCGATTTTCGTCTTCGATGACGTGACGTACGACAAGCAAGATACGATAAGAGAGACGATAAGAGATACGAAGAGAGTACTTCTCAATGGGTCGTTACTCGAACGTCGACTGCTTCTATCTTTGTCAGACGTACGCGAGAATACCAAAACATCTTATACACGACAACGCGAACCTGCTGATCTTGTTTAAACAAGATGGTATCAACTTGAAACACGTGTACAACGATCATGTGAATACCGACATGTCGTACGAGGATTTCAGTGAATTATGTCGTACTTGTTGGCAACAAAAGTATGGATTCCTAGTGATAGATAAGGACAGCTCGCTTACGAACGGGCGATACAGAAAAGGATTTAACGTGTTCGCGATACCGCAAAACGATTAGTCGCTGCCAACATTTTGTCGAGAAGGATGAAACGCTCGACATTCCGTCAACATGGCTGAAAGCGATAATATTCGTAAGCGTGAAAAGATTGCGAAGGAGATTGGGAAAACGAGCGAATCGATCCGCAAGAAACATCGCGCTTTAAAGACCGGTAAGATCGACGACGATATCGCGGTCAAGACCCATTTTAGACCTATTATCGAGCCACTACAAAAAATCGCCGACAACTCTAGCTTTATCGCGATGAAAAATGAGCCGGAGAGTAACGCTGACACTATAATTAAAACATTACCCATCAAGCGGTATAAGGAGAAAGAGAGGAGGAGAAGGAGGAGGAGGAGGAAGATGCGACACCGAAAAAGAGGAAACGATTGAAGGCTAAACGTTTATTGTCGCCGCGTACATTGGATGAACCGCTGCTAAGCTCTACACCACTGATAACCTCCACACCGTCCGGGACAACGAGAACCGTACAATCCAGGATACCCAAATTACTTGATGAGATCGAAGAAATTCTCGAAAAATCCCAAAAAAAACCTGTTTCAAGAGGAAGTTTTCGAAACCACGGGCAACCCGCTCGAAACATCCGTTCGAAACAGATTACAAACGTCGGAAGGTCAAGAAGTGTTGCGAGAACACTTGGGATCACTGGGACAAAAATACATAGGTGCTCTTCTTAGCGGTGACGAAAGAAAAAAACACGATCGATCACGTGTACGGCGTCTATTTCAACGAGAATGGAATGCGTCTCGGTAACAAACGATTCGACATTGACAAAGATGACTCTATAATCATAGAAAAAGTGAGGTATATTGGTACACCAGGATTATACGAGTTGATCTTCAAGAGAATTCCCGACGACGTCATATACACTGAGGACGATATGCAAAAATATAAGAGCATATTGATGACGACGAGTGCGCATAAACGTCAATATGATGCGCAAGGTCAATTAAAGAGCAACAAGGGATACAAGTATAAACAAATAATCGCACCGTTGATGTCGATCGAATCGAAAAAGAAAAAAAACGGGAACGGGAGTATTCACGCCTCGTGCGATGACGCTAATCGATAATAAGATCGATTACGTGCACTGGGACGATCCCAACGAGCTAGTGGATCGCCTACGATTGCTCGACACTTCACCCCGAGCTGCTCACGAGATCCTGTCGATCATAGAGGAACTTCGCGAAGCTGGCCTTATTATAAATTAAATGGTGTCTCGACAAAACTAATCAGTCGATCGATGTTATTCACATCGAAAAAAAAAAATGCCTATCAACAAATTTGGATTATTTGAACGGAGAAATGAAGAAATCTGCACAAGCGATCATTGGAGTAAATGGGTGACAAGTTACTTGCGTCGAAACGCTCTGTGTCGCGTCGCTACGGACTATGACGCGAGGTCGCGCAAGATTCGTCGTAGCGCAACTTGAGGCTGATACCGATGCAGTCAACAAACTGTATGTGGAACATATGTTAAAACGTTGAAGAATCAACAGAAAGAATCAGACGAGAAGCTGATTGCGTTCGAGAAGGATATGCGAGCTTTGCAGATTGCAATAAACGAACTTCGACGTGCGATTAACACTAATTCGGAAACGGCTGTCAACCTATAATGAGCTGTAGCGAACAGTTTAGGAGCAGCTATTGTACAATTATTAAACATCTACAAAGGCTTATCGAGCGGCTACGAAGGATTATCGAACTACAATGAGTGACAACGATCGAAGAGGAAACGACCTCGAACGGATCAGCAACGGCTATTGAACGGCTATTGAACGGCTACGAACGGATCAGCAACGGCCATTGAACGGCTGTCGAACGGCTATTGAACGGCTAAGAACGGGTCAGCAACGGCTATTGAACGGCTGTCGAACGGCAGTGAACGGCTAAAGAGTGACAACGAATAATAAAACGCATGGTGACACGTATCGTTTATTTGATCGACGAATCAAAACAACGATGGATCGATGATTGGGAATAATCGAGGAAGCGAAGAAACAACATAGTTTAGAGAAACGGCAGTTGGTGAATGAACTGCACGCACCGAGAAAAAATTTCCCCCGAAGACACGTCATTGTGCGGGGATACGATGACCTGTGGCAAGTCGACATCGTCGAGATGCGTCCGTACTCTCGTTTCAACAGAGGTTACAACTACATACTCACTGTCATCGATGCGTTGAGCAAATACGCGTGGGCCGTACCACTCAAGAGTAAAGGTGGAAGCGAGATAGCTGACGCTATCGCCGAGATAATTCGAGATAGCAAGAGGTGTCCGAAAAATATACAGACCGATATGGGGAAGGAATTTTATAACGTCGACGTGCAACGGCTCATGCGAAAACACGACATCAATCATTATTCTACATATTCGACATTAAAGGCATCGATCGTGGAGCGATTCAATCGCACGCTGAAAAACGACATGTGGAAGATGTTTACGCTAAACGGATCTTACAAGTGGATCAACGTTTTGCCGGAACTCGTACCGAATTACAACGCGCGCAAGCATCGAACGATCGGTATGCGGCCCGTCGACGTTATGGTGCAGTCCCATGATACGGAACGTATGCGCAATGCGGAATTGGCGGAAGTTCGTCTAATCACAGACATTCCGTCAATTGCGTTCCGTTGAAATATATTTTCTTATGTCCCATGGAGCGGAAAACGCGGAAGCGCAATTGGTGTTGGCCAATCACAAGATTCTTTCCCATAGATTTTTTTGTTGTCTATATCGGAACAGCGTACATTATTGGCTCGCACAAATTACGCTTCCGTATTTTCCGCTGCATGGGACATAGGAAATACAAATTTATGCGGATCGGATTCACACATATATGTCAAAAAATTCATGAATTTCATATATAACCTTCAAAGCTGACAACATCTTAATATTGAATATGGATTCTGAAAAATTGTTTATTATTATTTGTGGACTGTTAAGTAAATTAAAACAAAGTTGGTGTATATTTAAAAAGAATGAATTACGCCGTAAGATTATAAAATTATATTCATTGTATATAATTGTAAAAAGAAATGAAAATATTAAAAAACGACGAAAATATTGGGTGCGACCTATATTCAGCTTAGAAAGAAGATTCCAACAAGGAGCAAGTGAGAATCTTGTAAAGGAAATGCTGATCGAAGACACAGAAAAATATATGGATTATTTTAGAATGGCATCTCAATTATTTGACGCATTATTAGCATTAGTTGGACCATTCCTTGTTAAAGAATATGTTGTTCGCGAACCAATTTCGCCTGACACTCGGCTCCAGATTACACTGCGTTATTTAGCATCAGGAGATAGTATGAAATCCCTATCATATGCTTTCAGAATTGCACATAACACAATATCAAAAATTATAAGTGAGACTTGTGAAATTATTTGGAATTGTTTAAAAGATTCAGTTTTTCTAACGGACAACGAAGAAAATTGGAAATCTGTAGCTGACGAATTTCAACAATTATGGAATTTTCCTAATTGTATAGGGGCCATCGATGGAAAACATGTTCAAATCCAGGTATATTTTAAACGGAATTCTGAGTTTATTTATATAATTTTAGAACTTTATTAATAATAGATAAAAGGCTTTGTTAAATGTAAAAAATTGTTTTATATTCAATATATAATATAAATTATGATAAAAAAACAAATGTCTATATGTTCTTGTTACAGGCTCCGCCAAATAGCGGATCAATGTATTACAATTACAAAGGTCATCACAGCATTAATCTTCTTGGAATCAGCGATGCAATTGCTTTACAATAGTTGACATTGGTGCCGAAGGCAGACAAAGTGACGGAGGAGTTTTCCGTAACAGCGAAATTGGGAAACGCTTTGAAGCTAATTCTTTCAAACTACCAACTCCGAGACAGATCGAAATTAATGGACCAGAATTACCATATGTATTAGTAGCGGATGAAGCTTTCCCATTATCAATGCACATAATGAGGCCATATCCGCGCAGTGGAAAACTTGATATTGGAAAAAAAAATAAAATATAATAAAATTTTTATAAATATAAAAAAAAATAAAATATAATAAAATTTTTAATTATAGACTCAGCTGTGCAAGAAGAGTTGTAGAGAACGCTTTCGGCATATTAGTTGCTCGATGGAGAATATACCGAAGGTCAATTATCGCGAATGTCAGAAATGCACGTAAAATTATACAAGCAACTGTAACACTGCACAATTTTATTATTAAGAACGAAGAGAAATTAACTGGAAATAAATTATATTTGCATCTAACTCCAGATGATGCGCGTACAAGTCATGGCATTCGTAATATACCACTTTGTCGAAGCCGAGGCAATAAAAACGCTGTTGCAGTTAGAGAAGCGTATTCAACCTATTTTCAAAATGCTGGTGCATTATCTTACCAGTGGGCAAAAGCCTTGCAAAACGATTTTTAATTTATTTGTTTTAATTAATTTTTTTACTAAAAAATTATAAATAGTACTGTTATTAGTATTATAAATAAAATACTGTAAATAGAGTAAGTTTGTAAACATAAGTATACTTATAAACAAATATGATTATGAAGTAAAACTTATTTATCAGGTAATTGTGTAATGATAAAAATATTTTGTTTGAAAATAACTTTATTTAAGATTATTATAATGAAAATGTAAGCAAGAATTATTTAATACAGTTTGTCATAATAAAATAATAAATATAATAAAATATAATAAAATAACAATTTCATAATAAATCTTTTAGAATAAATCTTTTAATCCTAATATGATAAAAAATAAAATATTTTTTCATAGTTTATATTAATGTAATAAAAAATAAAATATTGATTCATAATTAATACTAATGTAACAAAAAATAAAATAACGAATAGAGATAATAATAATAATAATATATATAAGCTTATACTTTATATTAGCAGATCATGCAATTTATCTTGTTCCTCCATCAACATTGCAAGAAATTTCATTTCTAATTTAGTTCGAGCTCTATAAGGCAATTTTCTTAATCCTTCGCCTAGTAACAACAACCCGTCAACACCATCAGGTTCCTTAGTTTCTCTTAATGCATTTATAACAGTGTCATGAAACTCTTCGTTTAACTCTTTGTTCGATCTGTCAGCTTTTCTTTCTGAAATATCATTAATTTTTTGAATATGAGATAAATTTATTAAAATTTCTAATAATTGAATACTAATAACAGAAACATACTTCTATTTGAATTAAAATTACTTTCTTCAGAACTTGATGCAATGACGCTGCTGCTTGTTAGTGGGGACACTAACATTGAAGAGTTTCTGGCTTCAACTGAGATATTTTCATCATCGTCATCATTCTGAATGCTTAATGGTAGACTAGTACTTGTTCTAGAAAGAAAAACGACACTTAGCGTTTTCGATAAAGTCGAAAAACTCAATAACAAAATCAAGTATCAAATATTTCTGTATTTTAAATTATTAACCTTTTTCAATATTATATATTATTAAACTTACGGAGCTTTTCCCATGACGTCATTTAAAAACTTCATCTGTTCATAAAAGCGGAAGGAATTTTTTTTACTGTTTAATGCTTCAGCAGCAGATCCACTTGGGATATAAGTATGTTCCTTTTTTTTTGCCTTTAAAAAACAATCCCGTAGTGCGACGCCGTCGCCCGCCTCGGGAACGCCGCTCCCGAGGAGGTGGCGTGCAAATTTGGCGGGATCAGTAATTGGCGGTATCGGGATCTTAAAATGGCGGTAACGGTATCTTAAAATGGCGGTAACGTACGGTAACAGAATCTCCAACAAAAAGGGAGATAGGTTATGGGCGCCAGGCGCGGTATTTCCGCGCCACGATATCGAAACAGTAACGGCAAGCTCAGTTTATGGCAGAGGGGCAGAGTTCTTTGTGAATTAGTTACGGTAAGGGGGAGAGAGCGCTAGATTATCTTTAGGCGAGAGAAATGACTACTCCGTTATTTTGTTCACAATTAATTACATATATTGTAACGTTAGAGTACACACACAATAAATAGTATAATCGACTTTAATATAATATAGATAAATTTAATATAATACAGATAAATCTAATATAATAGCGATAAATTTAATATAATAGCGATAAATTTAATATAATAGCGAGAAAATCGGCAACTATACCGGTAAATATACAAGAACGTGAGGCACAAGATAAAATAATAAAAGAAAGCAGATAAATTTCGAAATATAACGGTTATCTTATAAATTGCGGAAACAAAGGACACGTTATAACGGCTAATGCGAAGGTCAGATACAATACTCTCCGAGAGGCTACTTGAAATATTGACTCTGAGTCGGCAATAAAAAAAGGAAAAAAAAAACGGTATTAAAATAGTTTTAGCCTTTCAATAATGACGGTAATCGAAGGTCGTGAACATTAGCGGCGAAATATCTACCAAACTCGAGAACGAATTATGTCTGATTTCAGCTCGTATGTCGAGACGTTCGTCTCGCTAACAAATTTCGGTATAATTATCCACTAGTTTTATGGCGATAATCCACGTAATTAACGGTAACCAGAGTGTACAGGAATTTTACGATCAGACGATTCTACGCGGAAGGTTTACGAACACTCCTGGAGGCGTGAGCCTCGTGCTAAATATCGATATAAATCGAACCTAAATTTCACACAATTTTGACGGTAACGTTCACAATTACGAATAATTAACGGTAGAGAACAATAGACAACTAAGAAATAAACAGAATTTTAACCCGAAATAGACGGTATACGTATTTTATATAAGTTCGATATACCTCGAATCGAACCTTTTCTCACGGCAATTAACGATGACTTTCGACAAAGTCTTGATGAAAAACAAAAGCTTTCTTTAATGGTAGTTTCAAGGAGGTAGACGGAAATTGTTTACCCGATGTAACGGTCGCAGCATGACCTTTTGTTTCGTTAACAATAGCACGACGTCCGCGTAACGGAAATTTCGAACAAGTGATACGTTAAATACTTTTCGGCGGAGATTTCGCGTGAGGTAATATTCTTGCAGAGCCGTTCTCTTAATTTCGGTAACACACGCTCGCGAAGAAATTACCCGCTCAAATCCCGCTTTCCGGTATGCAATATACTCGACCAAAAATTGCCGCGTCACGCTCGGAGTATCGATACAAAAAAAAACGTTAACGGGAACGATATAATTTTTAAACTATACGGAAACGATACATAATACCATGGACTGACGGCACGAACACCCCTGAGAGGGACAAATCCGCGACTCCGGGGACAGCTGGCGTCCGACAACTACGGTACAAGTATCAAACTTCACGGTAATCTTTATTACGGTATGATAGCCGCCCTGCGACGGTATCTCGGCACGATGACACCAGCTGATCCCGGATGAACATTTCTAATCGGCTACTTGTGCGACGGCTTACAATTTTGTTCAGATGGCTGCTCCCTCAGGATCGTCTCTTCTAGGTTCTCACTGATGTGCACCGGACACTAGCTCACCGTACAGTGACGATCTTCGTCTGTGCTCGCAAGGCCCTCGAATGCCGCGCCGATCTTCCGCGCATTTTGTCGATTCCGGGAAAAATGGGGTGGATTCTCCGCCCCCTCGAAAGTTGCTGATGTTTTACGGCGTTGCCCTTACGCAGAGGCCCAGTATTCCTCAGCGACGGTGCTCGTGCTGGTGCCGATTCTCGGGGACGTGACCGGCTGGCCAGGCCGTATCCGCGTCTCCCTCCGAGATTTTTGTTTTCCAGTCGGCCGCCTGTAAAGTTGCTTTCGGCACCGTCGTCTGGATTCGCTGCCATTTCTTTTTACATCTGAAAAATATGCAGATTTAATCTCCCTGACATTACTAAGAGCGGCGGCGCGGGACCTTAGTACTTGACCTGATGCTTGCGGTATCTCCGGTATCTTCTCGGTATCCTTGGTATTTTGCGATAGCTTCTTTTACAAATGGTCGATCCTGCACGCACGCACAGTAGCCGTATTCGCATCGCGGGTCTTAAATTTCGCTAAACACAAGTCTATACATTTGAATAATAAGTAGCGGTAGTCTCCTCTCAGGCGCGAGAGACGATCCCGCGCACGCTGTTTTCCCTCGGCAGGGAAATCGTGACGGAGCTTAAAAAGCGTCACGTCACAACTCCCCCTTCCCAGACGAGTGCCGAGGGGACCTTGGGACCCGGCACACCGACGACCGTCGCCCCGGTAGCTATGCTTCCATTTTCGTGATAAGACGACTACTTAACCCCTCGGGTTTCCTTGAGGTGTCCGTAGCCCGACAGTTCGTGGTCCATTACCATTTCTGATAAAATCGCGACTCGATTTCAGCCATCGCGTCCTCTCCCCGTGGTATTTTCGCACACCCTTTAACTCCGTTTTTAAACGCCAGAAGGAGATAAGGGATCAGGAGACGGTAGGGAGAACTGATTGAACTTGGAGTCAGAGTAAACTTATTTATTCCGGCCCTTCTTCGACCGACCTCCAAAATGAACAATAAACCACAAAAATAAACTTGATATATAAGCAAAAAAAAAAAAAGAAAACGGAACTTAACAACTCGAGAAAAAAAAAACAGAAAAATGCCGATACGGTAACAAAAAAAGAAAAAAACGAAACTAAGCCTAAGAACTAAACTAAACAACTAAAAACTAAGAAAGTAATACTAAGAAAAAAAAAAGAAACTAAAAAAAAAATATTCTAAGGAAAAAAACACAAATGTCTTTAGCGGAGGCGGGATTCCTCCGACCAATCGGCCCCCACGTCCTTCTTCCAGGGCCATCCCTCCCGAAGGGGCGAATTGTCCCGCACTGGCGGTGGTGTTGGCGGCGGCGCTCGCGGTCCCCTCGACGCCGAGTATGGGGTGCTGCGGCGGTAGGCGGCTCCACAGCGGTCGCAATCCCGCAACGTTACCCCCCGGTGCCCGCACCCGTAGCAAAAGCTACCCGTGCGAGGCAAGGGGCAACGCGCGTAGGAGTGCTGCTGGGAACCGCAGTTCCAGCACCCCACAGCGTAGGGTGCGTCTCGCGTCGGGCGCTCCGGGCGACGAGGCCTCCCAGCGGAGGTGGCGCGGTGTTGACCCGGCTCCACGGCGCGCTCCAAAGATCGGGCCCTCCCCCGTGGCGAGGACTCCGTGTGGGGCTCGGGGGCGTCCGTCTGAGTCCCCCTCGCTACCCCCTGGTCGGACGTGGTTTGCACCGAGGTGCTCCGGGAGGATGGCCACTCCCGCACCACGGCCCCGTCCGTTGTCCAGCGGGCCTCTCTGACCTGGTGAGCCACGTCCTCCAGATCCGTCCAGAAGCCCTCATCGTGAAATTCGATGTGCTCCCAGACGGATCTGTGACGCGACCAGAAGGCCCGCCAGATCCTCCTCATCTCACGTCAGTCCATTACGTTTCTCGGCATCTAAACGGTATCGGGCAGACGGTAAGGCTTCAAGTCTTGTATGTGACTTTTGCCGGCGGGTGACCCATCCAGGAATCCCAATTCATATACGACTGGAGAGATCACCCGCACTACTTTAAACGGGCCCTGGAACTTGTGTGCTAATTTTGCAGCTATATTCTGAGCCGCCAACGATAAAATATGTTGGCGTCTCAACACCAGATCTTCTACCTTGAACGTGTGATCACGCCTACGTAAATTGTATCGCGAAGCCTGTCTCTCGTAAGCTCTGTCTAAGTTTTCGATAACCCATTTCCTCAGGACTTGCATGTCCTTCATACGGGCTGCCCATCTTGCGGTATCCCCCGGTTCGATCTCGGTAACCCCCTGATTTGATCGAAGGCGCGACCCTGATCATCCCCCCACTCCCAGCGCCTGCCCTTTTTCAAAAGGCGCGTCAATGGTTCGCTCAGGGTCGCGAATTGGGGAAGGAATCTGCGGTACCATGACGACATTCCCAAAAACCGGCAACATCCCCTGGGCACTCAGGCCCCGATCTAACAAGTGGCGACGCGCTTGACCGACGCTTAATCCCTGTATCCACTGATGGGGATCGCTATCCTCCCTCATAGGGCCAACAAGAGACTTACCGATTAGCGAAAATTACAACAAAAACAAAAAAAAATAAACGAGGTAGTTAATCAAATAAAAAGAAAAGAAAATGGTAATAATAACGGTAGTAATAATATAATAAGATAAAAAAAATAAAAAGATCGAGATAACCAAGGAATAAATTCAAAATCGAAAACGGTACGGGAAAGAGGCCGCAATAATAATAAAAAAAAGTTTATTTAAAGTCGAAACAACACGGCAGAAGTATAGAAATAAAAAAAAACCACAAAAAAAACAATATAAGAGCCAGAAGGGGAAAGAAAAAAAAAAGTTAAAAAATCAAAATAATGTTTCGAAGTCAAAACAGTACGGTAACAAAAAGGAGATTCAAAATAATATAGGTGACGGCAAGAAAACAAAAAGTCAAAAGTTAAACAATACGGCAGCGAGAAAAACAAAGAAATTCAAAAAAATCAAACAATCGGGTAGCAGGAAGAAAAAAAAATTCAAAAATCAAAACAATATGTTATAGGAAAAGATAATTTCAAAAAAAAAATAAAAACAACAAGGTATCATAAAAGAAATTCAAAAATCCAAATAATAATATGGTACAAGAAGAAAAAAAACTAATAATACTAAGGATAACGGTATAGAAAGA